GCTTGCTGACCGCACGAGGAGAAACCTGACATCAAAATGTCAATTGGTTCGTTCCCGGGAATCTCGAATTTCTAAGCGGCTTTGTCCTCGCTCGTTTGGCTTTCCGACTGCGCCGACATCTTGTCGTGACTGGCTCGCGGACCGTGTAGGTCTCCTGATGTATCAAACAATCAGCTGCGCGTCCAAATACCTTCTGCAACAAGTCTGGGGAGTATATCTCTTCAGTATGTGATGTTACGGTTCGATACCAGCATTCAGGCAACCATCATCTGAGACACCCCGGGGGGCTTTACAGCATACCTCGAGAGCCATGGAGAAAGCCCTGGAGAAAGTCCTGCCCATGCCAGCCACGGTATACTCCTCCCCGATCAAAGGGGCCAGATTTTCTGACACCTCCATCGATGATGCGACACCCGTCGAAGCGCCCCGGGGGAAACGAACCTGGAAGTCATACTTGTGGGACACGCTCGACAAAGACCCCGTTGAGCGCGCGTTCCTCTTCAAGCTCGACGCGGCGATGCTGAGTCTCGCCGGGTTTGGCTTCTTTATCAAATACCTGGACCAGCTCAATATCAGCAACGCCTTTGTCTCGGGCATGAAGGAGGATCTGGGTCTCTATGGCAACCAGCTGAACTACATGCAGACGCTGTGGACGGTCGGATACGTGCTGGGAGCTGTACCATGTGCGACATCTCCCCATTGTTCCTCTAGGCTTCGAGCCATCGAGCCATTTGCTGACTTGTATCTGTGATCTTTTTGGTTGTCTTCAGCGAACCTCCTCCTAACACGCGTTCGGGCCTCGATATACATCCCATGCATCCAGATCGTCTGGTCCGCCCTGACTATGTGCATGGCGGCCTGCGACACCATCAAGCCCATTTACGTGCTGCGGTTCCTGATCGGCCTCTCAGAGAGCGGCTTCTACCCTGGTGTTCAGTACCTCATTGGGTGTTGGTATCGACGCGACGAGTTGGCCAAGCGGTCCTGCATATTCCACACCTCCAGTGCCCTGGCGGGCATGTTCAGCGGCTATCTTATGGCGGCGGTCTACCATCTCGAGGGAAGGGGAGGACTCCGCGGATGGCAATGGCTGTTTATCGTTGACGGGTGCATCGCTGGTAAGTCGCTCTACTACCAGCCTTTTGTTCGTGACCGTGAGACTGATTTCTTTCAGTGCCCGTCGCAGTAGCAGGTTATCTGTTCTACCCGGACGTCCCGGAAACATGCCAGGCCTTTTATCTCAGCAAAGCCGAGATTGAACTGGCTCAAACGCGGATGCTGCTCGAAGGACGCAGCGGGCGCCAACCGTACACGTGGACCAAGATCAAGAAGATCTTTCGGTCGTGGCACTTTTACGGCGTCGTCATCATGTTCATCATCTTCGTCAACAACAACGCGATCCCGCAGCCGTTTTTCTCGCTGTTCCTCAAGGACTCGCAACATCCGAAATACACCGTGACGCAGATCAACGCGATCCCGTCGGCCAGCGCGGCGGTGCAGGTGGTGACGACGCTCATGTACGCGTGGAGCTCCGACACGTTCTTGCACGGGGCGCGGTGGCCGCCCATTATCGCAGCCAACCTGGTCAACATCGTCATCTACATCAGCCTGGCCGTGTGGGACGTGCCCATGGGGTGGAAGTGGACGTGTTTCATCCTGGTGGGCGCGGGCGGTGGGCTCAGCGGTCTGTGCTACGCGTGGGCGCACGAGATCTGCACCCACGACAACGAGGAGCGCGCCTTCGTCACGGGTTCCATGAACGAGTTCTCCTACGCCGTCCAGGCCTGGCTCCCCCTGCTGGTGTGGAAGCAGGTCGACGCTCCGCGCTACGAAAAGGGCTACATCACCTGCGCCGTACTGAGTGCCGCCATGATTGTGAATGCCATGGTCGTTCGACACCTGCAAAACAAGGAGCTTGGGGCGAAGCGCGTTCAGCAGGGTGTGTGAGGGCTCCAAGTCAGAGGGTTTGACGTGAAGAGCGAACGGCCCCCTTGACCGCTGGGTCTGCCCTCACTCAACTAGCTGGGCCAGCACAGCACAGCATAGCAGAGCACATCACGGCATCGCCTCCGCCTGGCGGACCGGCTGCCTGAGAGACGGGCCACAGGTCACTCACTGCCGACATGTCGAATGTCGAAATGACACCCATTGACCTCATCCACAACGTCCTTAATTGGGTACCTGATCAAGCTCGCTAACTCCTGGACCTCGCAACCCTCCCAAGAACATGGTGAGAAGACAGACTCTTTTAATTCTCCCTAAAAACCAGCCATGTGTCTAGCGGGGTTGACACTACAGAGAGACGTCGCTGCAGCCACGAGTCTATAGAGGCTGGGGGATGGATTCCGGATGCTCAAAGCTAGAGGCCGAGGCCTGGATACCAAGGAATTCAAGAAGAGAAGAGGGTCATCTCTCATCTCCCATCCCATATACCATACCCCTTCCCCTCCAACTTTGCAGTGGGGACAGTGTACATTATACATGCCACATGGCACATGGCACAAGACACTAAACAAGACCCAAGAACTCAAAAGATATTGTTCTGTCTATCGAATCTGTCTATACCCGTCTATATCTGTCTATAGATGCGGAGCCAGCGGCGACGTATCTTCGCTTTTATTAGAATGAGAATCTTCTTCTAAAAGCAAACACTCTGTGATCGCGCGCGCGACGTGTGCGACGTTGGACTCGTTGAGGCCCGCTATGGAGATGCGCGAGTTGTCGGCCATGTAGATGTGGTGGCGGTCTGTTTGGCCCATCAGTCAGGACGGGTCAACTCAGGACAGGTCGGGACGGGTCAGGAAGGGGATAAGATAGATCAAACAACGGGGTACGTATGCACGTATGTGTATGTGTATGCGTATGTCTTTCCAGAAATGAATAAATTCGAGTTCGCAGTAACGACTCACCTCTTAATTGCACGACGACGCTGTACGGCAAGCCCAGAAATCCAAACATTCCCGACTGCTGGACGATATGGTCCCAGGTCCCTGGAGCGCCTGTACCACACCAAAACGCAGAGCTTTGTCAGAGATTTATTCCAGATATACATGTAAACGGCGACCCAGGTGAGGGGTTGACAAAACGTACCGTTCTCAACGAGTAAGTTGTACAGCGCGGACCGCATGGCCGCGATGCGATCGCTCATGGTCCTGAGGTCGTCGAACCACATCCTGCGCAGGAGCGGGTCGCGCAGGACTTCTGTGGCAATCTTCGCGCCGTAGGCTGGGGGATTCGAAATTTCCGAGCGCTGTAGCCGCTCTAGCACGGAGTCGCAGTTCTGGGCGACTTCTGGGGATTTGGTCACGACGAGGGTCGCACCCACGCGCTCGCCTGTCCACGGCTGAATTAGCAATTGCGATGAAAATGGCAATAAAAACGGCTCAGACAACGGCAATTTCTCTCTTGTTGCTCTGGTCTTCTGGAAGACTTACCGTAAAGACCCATGTTCTTCGCAAACGAGACGGCCACCGCGGCCTCCAAGCCGAGCTCGTTGACGAAATGGCGAATGGCAAATGCGTCCTCGTCAAAATCCCCCGACCGGAAACCCAGGTACGCGGCGTCGAAGAGTGGGAAGAGCCGTCTCTCTTTGACCACACCGCCAATTTCCCGCCACTGCTCTCGTGTCGGGTCGCATCCGGTCGGGTTGTGGGCGCACGCGTGGAGGAGGACGACCGAGTCTGGCTCGGCGGAGCGCAGGGCCTCCAGGTACGATTTGATATCCAGCGTCTTGGTGTCGGGGTTGTAGTAGCGGAACGTGCGGACTCGGTAGCCCAGCGATGAGAAGACGAGATGGTGATTCGACCATGTCGGCTCTGGCACGAGCACCTGCCGAGTCAACGAGCTGTAGTTCCCGATCAGGGCGCCCGCGAGATGTAAGCTCCCCGTGCCGGAGAGGCTCTGAGAGCTGGCTATCTACGAGACATAATCAGCACAGCACAACACAGCACAACGTCTTGGGTCAATCGACTCTGAACGTACTCGATGTCTCAATTCCCCATAAGCTCCCGACCCAAAGACGAGTTCCGCAACCGCGCTCCTAAACTCTGGCAGGCCCAGAATAGGCAGATACTCGTGGTCCAGACTCGGACCGGTCAGTCTCCTCCGCGCTCGACGGACCGCAGGGAGGGCCCAGGGCAGGCCGTTCTCGTCACGATAGCTTCCTTGTCCGAGATTGACCTTCACGGGGGCTGGGTCGCCGTTGTACTTTGCCGTGAGGGCGAAGATGGCGTCTTTGGGGATCCGCGGTGCGGGCTCGAAGAACGACATGCCTCGTGAGAGCGAGCGGATGGACAGAGGGAGACTTGTGCGCATCAGAGAGTGGGAGAGAAGTGTGTGACAGTTCCTTCCTCCTTCCACGTCCGAGATCAAAGAGCTGCTAATTCCTGCTTTCAGCCTTGATCAAGCCAGGGAGCGTCGATGCTGTACCGCGAGACGAATGTCGTGATGAACATCTTTAAGACCGGACAGACACGGCGAACAATGCGCATGAACGCGAAGCAGGATGCCTTCTGAGCGTATTGGCCGTGGATTGACTCGAAATGATCACGGCAGAGGCGCCCGATTGCTCGAAGTACGGCCCCGGTTCCCGATTATTGTTGCTTGCGACGAGTTTGTATCGGATGCGGTGGCCGATGTCCGATTGCCGATGGATGGATGAACTGAGATCGGCCTCAGCCGAATCGCAATGCGGCGATGCAGTAAATGGACGATAACAATCTTGTCCAAGACCTGGTAAAACAACCATGATAATGATACAACCATGAGCAATTACGGTGGTGTCAATGTGCAGGGCTCTAGATGCATTTGCAACCCTTTGATCTCAGCCATTTCGATCTGTATCTTCGGAGTGTTACATCGCTTGGGTATTCTCTGCAGACGCCTAGTACTAGTATCTGTGAGTGACCGAAAGATACTGTTTAATATACAAGGTCGGACACTAATCTTACGACAAATGAAAAGATAAGATCGAGGTATCTATTTCCTCAACAGAGCCAATCCTACTTCATAGAGCGAAGGACCTCTGCATACAAAATGTCAGACTCTCGGCGCGCTGTCCTCGCACTATATCTAGAGTTCTGTGAGAAAACCCGCGTGATGCCATCGACCTCATCCGGTGGTCTTGAGCCCGGAAATGTGTCTGCCGCCTTACTGTTGTAGACCTCCTCCATGTGCTTCTCAACTCCTTTGTCCGTGGTTGACGCCCATGAGCCGAGATGGCCTGGTATCCACGACTCCCGTCGCACCGCTGCTTGCGTCTGTCCTGCGAGGGAGCTTGCGTCAATGATTTCCAGATTCATCGATCTGTCCATGGAATCTCGCTGCACCAGGTCCACCAGCTTGGAGAGGATATTCAACTCGAGTTTCAGCTTGACACTGTAGACGAAGCCTTTGATGCTTTCTTGGTAGAGCTGGAGACGCTTGTATTGTAGCATGACCAGCGCCGTCTGGAAGATTGTCAGTTATGGACATGGTCTGGATTCGTTGATAGCTTACGTCCATGCAGATAATCATAACATTGATGGTCAAGAGCTGCCAAATCATACTCCGAGTGTTTTCCTTGGAAATGACTCTGAGCAAAACCATCGTCTTCCACACGTAGAGCCCGGAAATGATCAGCTCCTGGAGCGTGATGATTGTCATCTGAATATGCTCCACGTAAAAGTACGCTTGGGCAAACTTTGGATTGGGTGAATATGCGTGGCCCCAGTCCAGAATCACCGTAGGGCCTCCGATGAACACACTGGTGACAATAATCATCCACTTCACTGCCCTCAGAATGTTGACATTATCGAGGATCAATCCCAACCGCGAGTACAGGACAAGAGATTGGCAGGTAATCATGCACAGCCATCCCGAGTCGAGCAGAAGCCCACTCAGCCAAAAGTCGCAGATGTTGAAGTAACTCAACGTCATCCCCAACGTGTACGACACGACGCCATAGTTGCAGATGCTCAAGCTCCAGAAATATAGGCCTGTCTTTCTCTTAAAGGTGGTCAAAATCAGAAGCACCATTTCTAGGGAGTTGTAGAAGGCCAATGCGATGGACAGGGTGACGATAACGGAGGTGGCTGTATATTGGCCATCGAACGGCCTTTTCCTCACGGCGTTCTGGTAGTAATTGTCAGAGGACATATCTGGAGGCAGCAATGAGCTATCTTGGAAGCATGGTGTCTGGCATTTGTGGTTGCTGCTGTCAGGTAGCAGATACAGGAGCTTGTTGTCGTGAGGCGATAGCAGCGATCGTAAACTCTTGCGGAAGAATATTGGCTTTGGAAAAGGTGCGACCAGAGGGATGGGCCTCCCCGTAGCCTCTGAGAGATAGGCATACTTTGCGCCAACGGGTTGAAAAAAGTCGACAAAGTGCTTGAGTGTTGGTGAGTGGTTTAGTGGGTTCATCTCCGCCTTGGGACCTTGGGATCCACGGATCCTCTTCGCCCCTCCCCCACGTTTCGCCACCTGCGTTCAGCTGGGAGCTGGGGACTCGGCGCAGCCCAGAAGACACCCAGAGAGCGGAAGCCCAGATTTCATATCACACCCCATGACACGCGCACCAACCATCGTGACTAACAAGAACAGGCATACCCAGCCTCTCGACTAGGGTAGCAGCAAATCGCAACGTTTCAATGACGTTCTGATCACAGTGCCTCAGAGCCATCGGACGAGATCCCGAGTGATCAACCCTCCACAAGGTCGCCTTGCCCAGGTTTCTTCTGTCAATGTCAACTCGACATCTTGATGAAATGTCAAATACCATGTCTCAAGCCTACCCCTCTCGCCTTGTTTTTGCTTCTGCCTACCTTTGGGATAGGTCAAGGAGTGCTTCACGGTATCACTGGGGTCCTGAAGAATGTCTGGTCAGTCATATGCTTAGATGGCTGTGTACCAAACACATCTCTCCAAGAAAGTATCAATGCTGATCTACGCTCGGCAACGAGGTAAGTCCTAGTTGGATTCATTCTCCGTATCAGCTGTTCATCAGTTTCTGCGGCCAGAAGGACCGGGTACACACCCGTTTGCCCAGAGATTGCTGACGACTGGTGCCCAGTCTGTGCTTGAGCGAAAGGAGACCTAGTCTGGCACGCGGATTTGTTCCTCACGCGCTTCCAATATCCGGTATTGGGTTAGGTTGTATAACAACTGTTGCACCTCGAGATATCGGAGGGCATCCCGACAGCGCTAGACCCCGGATTTCGCAGAATCGGTCGGGCTTTCTGACACCAATGATAGCACACGACTGATGTTCCCCTCGACAACCAGAAGGCAAAAGGCAAAATACTATAACTATGGCATCGTGGCACATCCCTGAATGGAGTATCCTGACACATTGTCGGAAGACAGCTGTTGAAGCACGACTCCTGCTATTTCTCCAAAATGAACCAAGAGAAGATTGACGACAAATCCCTCGGTGCTCAAGAGGCTGAGTATCGCTCGTATAGCGTGGACGAAGGTGGACGCCGCCTCTCTATAACTGGACGAAGGGTCTCTATCGTTGATGACGTCTTTGGAGAGATTGTTGAAGGTGGTCCGAACTACCGCAATGTCCGTGGTTTCCAGAAAGATGTCCCGCACAAGACTGACGATGCTCTCTAGGTCGGTTGGTTGGGAACAGCCATTCTCATGATGAAGACCCAGATTGGTCTCGGGGTCCTATCGATTCCAGCAGTTTTCGACGTCCTCGGCATGATCCCTGGCATCATATGCCTGATAACGATTGCTGTCATCACGACATGGTCGGACTATATTGTCGGTGTTTTCAAGCTTCGACACCGCTCTGTCTATAGCATTGATGATGTTGGCTACCTGTTGTTTGGTCGTATCGGGCGCGAGATTTTTGGTCTGGCATTTGTGCTTTGTGAGTTCATCTAACCAGCAATGGTTCTCCTTCTAACATTATACAGACTGGATCTTCGTCGCTGGTGCTGGCATGCTCGGCATCTCGATTGGTCTGAACGCAGTGTCCACACATGGAGCATGTACTGCCGTTTTTGTCGCTGTTGCTGCGATAATCGGATTCTGCCTCTCCAGTATTCAGACACTGAGCAAGATCTCGTGGCTTGCGTGGGTAGGAGTGATATGCATCTTGACTGCAAGTACGTTATTTGTCGGAGATACATCAAGAAGATGCTGACCTGGTATAGTTTTCACTGTCACCATCGCTGTTGGTGTACAGGATCGGCCTGCTGATGCACCTACAGAAGGTGTCTTTGTGTCGGATTACAAGATCACGAACAATCCGTCCTTCACCGACGCAATCTCGGCTTGTTCGTCCCTGGTATTCGCTTACGCCGGCACACCAGCTTTCTTTTCGATCGTTTCTGAAATGAGAGATCCTCGACAATACACACGGTCTCTCATTATCTGCCAGAGTGTTGTTACGGCGACATATATCACCATCGGTGTGGTGGTCTATTATTACGCCGGCTCGTATGTGGCGTCTCCGGCTCTGGGATCAGCTGGTGCCCTCCTTAAAAAGGTTGCCTATGGTTTTGCTCTCCCAGGGCTGATTGTTACAACGACTCTGGTCATCCACTTGCCGGCCAAGTACATTTTTGTGCGACTTTTGCGTGGCACCCATCACCTTACTGAGGGTACTGCCAGACATTGGATTACCTGGCTAGGATGTACGGGTGGGAATGCCATCATCGCCTATATTATTGCAAGTGCCATTCCCGTCTTCGGTGGCCTTGTGTCCCTCATTGGTGCTTTGCTCGGAACTCTCATGTCGTTCCAGCCCATGGGTTGTATGTGGTTGTACGACAACTGGGGCAAATTCAAGGCCGAGCGGACTACCAAACTGACTCTGATGGTCTGCTGGAGTGTCTTTGTGATCGTATCGGGCACTTTTTTGATGATTGGGGGCACCTATGGGTCGGTCGTCGGCATCATTGACTCATACAAGGCCTCTGGTGGCTCTGCCGCATGGTCGTGTGCTGACAACTCGAACTCGGTATGAGATTACTCCATGTTGGAGGACCATGGGCTTTGTGATAAATGTATGTCAAAGGTACAGGACATTCGTTAGCTCTTGGGTCTGGGTTGTTTCGCAGAGAATGCTCGACCACGTTGACCATGTAGTCATTGCAATAGCCTTAAGCTGAGTTCAAATGTCTCTTCCTCCAGTTTTGGTTAGTAGCTGGATTGCCTCGGTAGGTTCCATCACTAACACACGAGGTGGAAGACCCCTGGATGGGAGGATAGTCAGTGCCCGAGTCATAGAGACGAATTTTGTCCTTCTCGCCTGGCTAGATTCACCGAGCGGTTCCACCTACAGCTACCACTTAAGTCGTCCAAGGCCTGGCCTCCCCTCCCCCCCGCCTCTGAATGCGTCACAGAAATTGCCAGATCGAACACCAAACCAGCCCGTAGCGGGTCAAAGACCTGCTAGGAAGGCAGATGAGGTTGCCTCACCACGTGACCCTCGTGAAGAAGCGTCAGCAAACCAGGCGTTAATGCACATATCTGTACGTCCTGCTATGGGGGAACCGACAAACGATTGCCCCATCCCAGCGATAGGCCCGAGCGCGGGGTAATTAGACCTCACCTCAAAACCAGTCTTGTTTGCAGTCAGTCTTGCAGCTAGCAGCCTGTTCCCTCCAGCGCAACTGCGTTGTAATTAGACTCTCACGTCAATCCTGGCAATGTCAGAACACGACACCTTTTTCAAAGCCTGCGCGGACTGGGCTCGCGGCGAAGGTCATTTCTCGCGACAGGGTAAATTGCTTGTATAAATACAATATTCAGCAACCCTCCCTGAAAGATGTGACAGCTCGTTACAATACGGTAAGTGCATGTCCTTTCCCTAGGAATAGGCTGACGCAGACCGTAGTTCAATAACATCCAGTTCATCCGTGTTTTTGAGCCGGTATTACTTGGGAAGAAGAAGGGAATAGCGAAACTAGTGGCATTACATACAATTGAGTCCTGCACGGTTGGAGGGAAACACGTGAGCCTAGGAGAAGATTTTACAATAGAACCGGGCCACAATGTACACATAACGCCACAAGGAGAATTTTTGTTTGCCGAAATGGACCAGTGAACACAGAAAATATTCCCTGCCCGGAGAGAGAACCCGCCGTTCGACTCACCACGGATCAAGAGTGAATCGGGCAAGGAGCAGTGTGAAACGAAGGGCCGCAGCCATCGACGCCGTATTCTGAACTCAGACCTATCATCAACGAAAAATGGTATCTCTGAACTAAGATTGGTCCCTCCAGGGATGGTGCTTTGGATCGGTCAAAATTCGAGGCCGTCGATGAACAGGGGCATCAAAGGAGGATGGTGAAGCATAATTTGGCTACAGCGGTCGTTGGAAATGCAGCACTGGCACCCTCCACCTTCCACGCTAACCCGAAATCACAGCAAAGTTGCGCATTGCGCAAGTTTGTTACGAACGTCCAATCTGGACCGGCGCAGACCGTTTCGTTCATATACTCTTTTTCTCGCAATGGCCGAACCAAATCATTCATGTCCATGCTGTTCCCTGCTGTTCCTGACCCCCATCTCCCCGATAGACGTGAGGACAATCCACCGCCACATCCCCGGACCCACGTAAGTGTGACGCAGACTCAGCCCTGAAATGGACACATAGAAGGCCTCAAACCCCGTCATGGTCTTCGCTGCAACCTAGATCCTTCTCAAGATAACTTAGGTAGTGCAGTCTCCAGCTGATGGCTCCGCTTCCTACCATCCTGACCCAGTTGGATGCTCTTGGAGTCTTTCTCTGGAGACCAACTTCGATCGCTTCGTCGCACACTGAGGTAGACCGCCTTGCTGGGAACTCAATGCCGACTTTGTGTCCATCTCTTGAGAACTTTATCCGTAGTGATTGAACAATAAGGAAGAGAGGACGAAAGAATCCTCAAAGACTATATATCGCCTGGCTCACCCTGCCATCTTCTCCCCATTATTATGTGCGACCCGCTGCGATGGATTCGCCACCTAAAACCAATAAACACCACATCGCCCCAAAGGACTCTCAAGAAAAGACCGAGCAGTGAAGCCATTGCGACGCCAGACCCCCCAAAAAAGAAACTCTGGCGAAGCGAGGGCTTCACACACGGCGGCTTCATCCATTTTTTACCGACAGTCAAGCGCGAAACATACACATATCTCCAGACCTAGACTATCAGCCG